ACACCCCTCTTTCCCAAGGAGTTTGAAGGGCATGGACAGTTGGCCACAGATGAGGAGGCTGGGCTTGCTTCTGAGGAGAAATTGGAAGCTGTGGTGGTTAGCTACCTTTGTGTACCGCCGGCCGGGGCAAACAAAGCCTTGGTGCTTTCTGCAGAAGCACGTGGAGAAAAGACCTCTGAATAGTCAGTCCCTTCCTGTGCTTGCAAACAGACCAGGCAGCCATGTTGTCAAGAATCCAGGAAACAGATGGCTGATGTTTTGAGAATTAAATACAGCAAGTAAAATTAGATTAAGTGTATCAGAGCCTGGATTTCAGCCACCGGTGCAGCTACTGGAGACAAATTTCAGTCCCATCTGCTGGGACAGCAGCGAATTCCAGGCTCATCTACCTCTACGCAGGCCCCCAGAACTGGGGCTGTCCTGTATAGTCAACCTAGGCACCTTGCTGCTAGCTAAGGTTCTATATACCCTGGACGTGCGCCTCCCATTTGGTGGGAAACTCGGTGATACTTCTCAGCATCTCGACGTGCTTTGTTGAGCTCTTTTATCTTCCATCCCCTTCATGGGCCAGCGGGATGCTGTGCGATCCTCTGTCAAGTACACTCATGCCAGCAGTGCCTTCTGCCACCAGGAACTTCATCAGACTTCCACCTCTGTGACCGTGTACCTTCGCTTTGGGGCGTGGGAATCTAGAACTCATGATTACCTCTTGGTTCAGTCACCTGCCTAGTAATTGTCACCTTTGTAAAATTGTTTGGCATGATTGAGAGAAGTGTCCTCATAAATAAAAATGAGATTAATAATACATAGTATATAGGTTGCTGCAAAGATTAGCATCAGTGTAGTTTTTACAAATGGCCAGAGCTTTTAGGGCTTCTAGTAGATGACAGCTTTAATTGTTATGTATTTAATAGCCCCATTTGCCACTGAGGCTTTTGGACATGAGCTGTGGTGCCTCATACCCAGCTCTCAAAACCAGTTTATTAGTCAAAAAACACCCACGATGTTTGTTATAAGCCAATCAGTTATTGTTCAAAGAAGAAATTGGTCCAGTGAGGCCAACGGTTTCGCCCATATTTAAAATAAAACCGGCATTCTTCTCTGAAATATCATCGGTCAGGCAGTTTCTAATATTCAGTATCAGGGTCTGTTGCTAGCACTAGGCATGTGGTAATTAATTGGTTAAGAAAGGTTAGCCAGTGAGACGAAGAATTAACAGAGGAATAAATGGCTCGACGCACTCAGCAAATATTTATCCAGTGTCATTTCCATGCTAGTCCGTGCACATTGCAGGGTGTGCAAACCTGGGTGTGGGACTTTGGTGGTGACCTGGAAATGCTTCTCTGAGCAGCCGCCTTTGAAGCTGAAGTCTGGGATGCGCTGTGCTACAAAGCCTCCCTTGCGGTGGACTGTTTTCTTGCAAGGTTTTGTTGCCGGGGCCTGCTGGGGACTGCACCCAGCATCATGTTATTCCTCCTGCCGTGTGACCGTTTCCTACTGTTCCACTTTTTCTCTGCTTGCTTAGACGCTCCTAATAAAATAGCAAACACCAAACGGGATCGGATCCTGCCCTGCGTTTCTGGACAAGCTTCTCTAATTCCCCTCCCCATGTCATCTTTAATGGACCTGGTAGTTGGCCGGCCCATAATCCCTTGCAACTCACCTTTTCCATAGTGCCCTAAACTCTCTCCTGAACACAGCAGCTGTGCTCCAGGGCTTTCTCTGGGCAGGAATGCTGAGGAGTTAACATCGAGCCCAGAGTTAATGATCAGCTGCAGTTGGTGAACTCATACTCCAGCACCCTTACCCTTGGGTGGGACAGCTCAGAGCCAGGTTCCAGATGGTCTCAGGGATTGCAAGGAACCTCTGGGGGTCTGAACCAGGTATAGCAACTAGCTATGTGCCGCAGCTGACCTCCCTTCTTTCCCTGTCTGTCTTCCCCACCTCTCCAGTGCTTCCTGTCATTATGTGCCAGATAAACTCCTAGAAGTCAGACCTTCAGGACCTGCTTCTGGAGATCATCAGCTCAGATGGAGGGAGGGAGGGGTTGGGTAAACCCCCTGCAGCATTTGCAAGGGCCTTCCTCTGAACCTCAGGTTTTGCCTGTTCATGAATATCCAAAGCAGAATTGAAAAAAGGAAAAGTGGGGGAAAAGTCAGAAGGAAAGTGGGCTGGTTTAGTGAGGAAAGAAGGGTTCTCTGGGCAGGAAAGATTGCCTCTCCAACTTCATAATTTAAAGTCTGCATCACCTCCTCTCCACAGTGAAGAGCTTTGCAAGGACATCTGTTTAGTCTCCTTCCTACAGACCTAGAGAGACTCAATACTCAGCCTCACAGACTGGGACCATCGTGGCTAGGATTCCAGTGAGAGCTGAGTTCTTCTTAGTATAGTAATTCTCAGATACACTGGGGATGGGACAGGATGGTCCCAGTAAATCACAGGAAAATCTCAGCTTCCAGCGCTTGGGAGATAGAGAGAGAGGCAAGAGGATTGGGAATTCAAGCTGGGAAATCAGCCTTCAGCTGCACAGTAAGATCAACGCTAGTGGAGTACATAGCCTTGAGATCCTGCCTCAAACACCGAAAATGGAAAAAAAAAAAAAAAAAAACAACAACAAAGTAGAGGGATAGTGATAGGCCTTGATTGAGCAACGAGGAGCCACTACTTCCCAGAAAACTTCCCTGACCACTCTTCTGCCCCAGGTGCTGCCTAGACTTCTAGGTCCTTCTGTAGCTAAGTATGATCCTTGAAATATCCTTGTCTGTCTCAAATTCTAAATAGAGTAAGGATTGGGACTGTAATTAGGTTCTCTTTGTATTCCTGGAACAAACCATGGGATTCGTGCTCAGTGAATATATGAATGGATCAAATTTTTCTTTCTAGTATGTAAAGTTTTTTCTTTGCAAGATCTTGTGGACAAGTGGGGCCTGAACAGATGAGTGGATAATGAAATCATGTATATAAGTGACCGTCATTGATCACGAGGCTTCCCATAGGAAGGGCCCTTAGCAGCAATTTTATTTTAAATGAATAGCATCAAATGCAGCCCCAAATGACGAACCCTAAGAATTCCAGTAGGTTCTGGTGGCTGGAACACATTTCCCAATAAGCAGCGGATTAAAGAATGAGCTGAGGCCTCGCAGGAAAAGGTCGAGCCTTGCGCTCAGCAATGTGGACACAAGCTGAGTGTCTGGCTCTGTTGAAAGGGTGCAATTGAAAGATGACAGTCCAGGAAGACCGTCACATGCGCCACCCTCCTCGGCGCCCTTCTCCCCTGAGGCCCCCTCCAGTGTTCACAGTGCCTAGTTGGTGATATGCTCTATAAACTGCAGATCCTGCGAAGACAGGTTTCTTTTCAGCCTTGGGGACAGGAAGATACCTGAATTAGATCAACTGGAGGTAGCATGGTAGAGGAACCGCCTAGAAAAGCTGCGCTGACCTTTATCCCACTCCAGTCTGTTGTCACACAGCCACGGTGATCTTTCCAGAACTTAAATGAACTTCTGGCAAGCCTGCACTCACAATCATCTTGTAGTTCCTTGTTAAATCAAAGCCAAGGTCTTCATAGCTCCCCCACCCCCTGCTCCTCATTCATTTTCTATCCTTCACAGGGTTCTTCAGCACAAACACGCCTGTTTCCGGGTCTGGAACACAGGGACTGGGCCTACTCCCCACTTGGGTCCATCCTGACTCAGTGATCGCTGGCCCCAGGAACACCCTCCCCGGACACTGTGTTCAAACCTAATGGCTGTGCCTAAGTTTCACTACCTGGATGAATTTTTCTGTGTAGCTGGAATGTTTTTAATGTGTCACATAATGTACTTGTTTTGTGTGTAATTGTCCTTTTCCCTCCGTAACGCACTTGCTTCCTGAAGGTAAAAGTATTTTGTCTGCTGATCTTCCCTTAGCACATGAAGGGATACTTGGCATCACAGGTAGCAGAGAATCTTGAAATATTTGTGAATTAAATGAGAACCGGGTGGTATTGGCATACACCTTTAATCCCAGCACTCTAAGTTGAAGGCCAGCCTGGTGTACAGATTGAGTTCCAGGTCAGTCATGGCTATACGAAGAAATCCTGTCTTCAAAAGAAAAAGAAAAGAAAGCATCTTTCCAAAATTGCCTTTTTAGGTACATGAACTGGGATGTGCTTTCTGTTCTCCAAGAAGAAGGGTCATTTGCCTTACATGTAAGTCCAGATCACAGGACCACCTCGTAGCTTCAAGCTTACAGTGTATTGGTTGGCTGGGGATCTGCTCGGTGCCAGGGTTTATCAAGCTGTCCCTGCCAGTGTTTGACTAACTAGTGCCCAGGGGAATAACAAAGGGGAAAATATTCTTGTTTCTCGAGTCTGACTGCTGAGAAGGTGGGATGCTCACAGCAGGCTGTGTGCCTTTATTGTGTTTCTGTTTCTGTGATAAACACCATGACCGAGACAAGGTACAGAAGAAAGAGTTCATCTGGGCTTACGGTTCCAGAGAGCTAGAGTCCATGGTGCCAGGGAGTCCTGGCAGCAGAACAGGCTGGGAGCTCACATCTTGAATCACAAGTAGGAGGCTGACAAAGCCAACTGGGAGTGGCAGGGGACTTTGAAGCTCAAAGCCCACCCAAGTGACATACTTCTTCCTCCAGCAAAGTCACACCTCCTAAACCTACCCAAACAGCACCACCAACTGGGAATTTGGCACACACCTTTAATCGCAGGTGTCTCTGAGTTCAAGGCCAGCCTCGTCTACAGATCTAGTTCCAGGACAATCATGCTTACACAAAGAAACCTTGTCTCGAAAAGACAAAAGACTGGGGGGGGGGGGGGCATGTCCTTGAAACCAACACAGTGTGTAAGTCGGTGCATGGTATAGAACAATGAATATGAGGATGAAGAGTTTGGCTGAAATGCCCTTTAAGCTAAGTGGCATGTGGCTGACAAATGCTAGGAGAGGCTCCGTGACTTGGACAAGGAAGAATTCAGTGACAGAAACCCTGTTTTTGCCTCCTCGCAGGTGTTTCCTGGGACTCCCTTCCAGATGAGCTGCTTCTTGGGATCTTCTCCTGCCTGTGCCTCCCTGAGCTGCTGAGAGTCTCTGGAGTCTGCAAGAGGTGGTACCGCCTCTCGTGAGTATTTTTCACCCGTTGGGACATATATGCAGGGGAGGAGCGTAGCCGCCCCAAGCCAACTAAACACCTTTTTATTATAGTTAGAAATCTGCTTCCTCCTTTCCCAGTCGGAGGGAGGAGTCTCCTGTAAATCTATTGCTCCATTTCTGGCTGCCGCTCTGCCCCTATGTTCAGCTCTGCCCTTGTTTGCAAAGTATACTCCTGCTTGGGCCAGGTGGCGTGCTAAGATCGGGGGCGTTCTGGAGGGTGGCAAGACAGCCCAGTAGAGGGCACCAGACTGGTAGCCCGGGGGAGGGGTACGGCCTCTGAGCTTGGGCAGAGTGTGAAGCCAGCCTTGTTTACATGCTCTGCATGATCTGAACACGTTTCTGGTCACCTCTGAGCCTGGCTGCACTGCATGTAAGATGACCACAGTTACACCTCATCATGGGATAGTCATAACGGATAAAATGAGAAGTGCCAGGATATTGCCTGGCTCGGCACAAGTTCCATCTGTCGTAGTCTTAGTTGGCTCTTGGCTATATTTAAATATGTGGTCAAGGGGAGTGAACCAGGAAGGCAGTGACAGAGATGAAATGCGGGCTGTTTGTTCTTTTTGTTGTTCTCTGGTGTGCTGGGATTATACCTACTGCCTCAGACATGTGAGGCACGAGCTTTTATCTGAGCTACATACACCCCCCCAGGCCCAAGCCTGGGCAGTTTTCTTAGGGATGAAAAAGTTCGCACGGTAGTGGCTACATTTCACCATCCCCACCAAAGGACTTTTTTCCCCACCAGATATGCACTTGTTCACACCATGCAAACAAATCTATTAACCTTTATACAAACGTGCACATATTTAAGGTATGCAATCAATATGATGGTTTGCTGTAGGTGTAGGTCCCTAAATAGCTACTGCACTCAAGCCAATTAACATACCCGTCATCTTACATAATTCTTTTTCCACGGGTGTGGCTAAAGAACCTAAAATACACTCTTTAGCAAAAGTTCCCAAGTCCAGGACAATATTACCAGTCCTCAGGTAGTACATTAGCTCCTAAGACTTGTTTATCTGTGTGTCTGCCCAGTGCCTTTGACCTCCATCTTCCCTTTGGCTCAGTAACCATCTCTGTTATGCTAGAATAATAACCGACATAGCAATTTAATCTTCCACACAGACTGAAATGACAATTTTGTATTACTCTAGTTTATGAGTTGAAGAAACTTCAGGGTCAAGGACAACACTTTGTGAAGTGAACTTTAAAATAAGACTTGTTAGCTCCCCAGCCTTCACCATTACTAGTTACATTTGGCTTAGGATTGAGATGGCTGCTGAGTTCATTTTCCCTTTCCATGTCAACGCTGTGTTATCTGGGGCAAGGTGAATGCTTCAAGACTTGTCCTGGGTTCTAGACTAAACCAGCTGTTGTTTACCTCTTTGAAAGGAGAGACATTGAGATCTGAGATGACCAAAGAATGTTCTGCTCTCAGAGTGAACAAGAAGAAGATACAAAGCATGCCACCTTCTAAGGATATCATGTTTATAGTCTGCTCTTCCTCCTCCGCATCCCCAGACAGGGTTTCTCTGTGGCTTTGGAGCCTGTCCTGGAACTAGCTCTTGTAAACTTGGCTGGCCTCGAACTCACAGAGATCCGCCTGCCTCTGTCCCCCGAGTGCTGGGATTAAAGGCGTGCACCACCACCGCCTGGCTAGTCTACTCTTTTAATAGTCAAGTCATATTACTAGCAAATTTTTTTTTGTAGCAAAATTCTTTTAGAACTGGCCAGTGGAGTGTTTATTTCCAGTATGTCTAAAATAGAGAGTTCGGGTGCACTAAGGCCTTTAAAATGGTCTCTCATAGCCGGGCGGTGGTAGCCCATGCCTTTAATCCCAAGCACTCGGGAGGCAGAGGCAAGCGGATCTCTGTGAGTTCGAGACCAGCCTGGTCTACAAGAGCTAGTTCCAGGACAGGTTCCAAAGCTACAGAGATACCCTGTCTCGAAAAACAAAACAAAAAAAACCAGAATGGCCTATCATTTGCTTGCACTTCATGCTTTCTCCAACTTTCTCAATTAAGTTCAGCTGTGGCTAGTAAAGCTCTTACTGTAGGGGCTAAAGAGATGGCTCAGTGGTTAAGAGGCCTTGTTGCCCCCCCCCCCCAGTGGACCAGAGTTCATTGCTCAGCACCCACTTCTGGCAGTTCACAAATGCCGGTAATTCCAGCTGGCCTCTCAGGGCACCTACCTACACACACACACACACACACACACACACACACACACACACACGCGCGCGCACACACACACACGCACACACAGCATTTGCTTACACCGACATATACACATAAATAAAAATAAAATAAGACTTTAAGAAGAAACACTAAGTGGAGCTGAGTCCAGTTTTGGAACCTCCCTTTTATGTTAGAAACTACATCTAATGTGTTTACTATAAAATAATTCCGACTTTTCTTCCTTCATTTATATTTTCATGGACCTTGGTAACTGTGGCAACCCATCAACACATAACAGTGGAGAACAGGACTGTTTGGGAAGTTTGGAACTTACTGTACTATAATTCACATTTTTATTTTTTTTTTTTTTTTTTTTTTTTTTTTTTTTTTTTTTTTTTTTTTTTTTTTTTTTTTTTTTTTTTTTTTTTTTTTTTTGGTTTTTCGAGACAGGGTTTCTCTGTAGCTTTGGAGCCTGTCCTGGAACTCCATTTGTAGACCAGGCTGGTCTCGAACTCACAGAGATCCACCTGCCTCTGCCTCCCAAGTGCTGGGATTAAAGGCGTGCGACACCACCGCCCGGCTTTTAGATGATTTTTAAACGTTACACTTAATGATGGTATTTTGTTGGCCGGTTCTAGGTTATTTGTCATTCTAGCATTTGATAATCTAGATTGAAAATACAGAAAGGAAGCTTATTGATACTGTAATCAAGAAATGTTCAGTATTTCATTGTCAGCTTGGAAGCAAAAGCTCTTCAGATTTGCCTTAAGGAGATTTGGTGGCCATGCGTCTGTGTTCGTAGCAACTTTAATGGGTCCCCAGGGTCCCCAGAATTCACTGTGGCCAATTTACCAAATGAAGCACCTTCCCGTTTTAGGCTCGATGAGTCTCTCTGGCAATCCCTCGACCTCGCAGGTAAAAACCTTCACCCGGACGTGACTGTCCGCTTGCTTTCTCGAGGGGTGATCGCCTTCCGCTGCCCACGGTCGTTTATGGAACAACCATTGGGTGAAAGTTTCAGGTAAGAGAGAAATGATTGAATGTTGGGGTGAAAACAGCTCACGCACCTTTTTTTTCTTGTTTGGGTCTTCAGCCTGTGAGGGGTTGTTTGTCGTGTGAGCTGCCAGTTACATTTTATGCCATGTGGCCTCTAGCTTGAAGCATGGCCCGAGTTTAAGAGCTACTGGTGGGCTTTCCCCGGGGTCAGATGTTTGTATAGGACGTCTGAGTCTGTGGCTCAGTGTTAGAGTACTTGCCTAGCACATACAAGACCCTGGGTTCATCCCATTTTCCCAAAGGAAAACAGTGCTCTTAGGCCACCCAGCAGGAGCGCCCAGCAGGCAGGGCCTCTTTCCCAAGGGCCAGAGGCGTACCAGGGCCACATCAGAGAATGCAAACCTGCTCCTTCCTTCCACACGGCCCATCCATAAGAAAGTGAGGGGGAGTATTTTCATACTTGTGTCATGGGCTTTCTGACCTATCACGGACAGGTTTGCACCCTGAAAAGAATGCCTTCTTTTTTGTTTTGTAGACTGTTTTGAAAAAAATACTTCTCTGGTGCTGCAAATTATGGAATACTAAGGTTTCGTGCTATCTGATGCCCAAGAAGAATAGCTAGATACGGAAGAGAAAAGCAAGCTAAAGACAGTAGAACATGTCTCCATCCTAGTACCTCCCCTTCTTTCCACTGTCCAATTCCTCTGCCCGCGACTTTTATTTATTTACCCCAACTGCTGTTCCTGCCAGGGTTTGTCCGTCTTCTCCTCCACATGCTGTTCTCAGACAAGCTGTGTCCTGTGCGCCCACATTTAGGCTCAGGATTCTCCAGCTCTTCCGTTCCTCTTCTCAGTTCTTAGTTCTCAGTACCTAAAAGCTTCCACCCCTGAACTTCTGACTACTTCAGTATTAGCATATCTAAGTGTAAACACAACCTGCAATTAAAACTGGTTCCTCCAGTGTCCTCCCTGTCTTAGTAAACACTGTTGCTCACCCACTCAGCCCCTACCAGTGCCAGAAGTCATCATGGGCTGACCCCACTCCCTGGGCACGTGTACCCAGCTCATTCCTGTGGCACCTGCCTATTAATTTTCTTACTGGGAGCATGTTGGCAGCAACATCTACACTTGGCAAATCTTGGATTTTAAAAATAAGAATGAGGACGGGAATTAGCTAGAAGCAATTTGTTTTATGACCAGATCTTTATTTGGTATTTAAAGGGAGTGTTTAGTCTGATTTGTGATCGCTCATGCGGGGGCAGGAAGGGTCAGGTCGGAGCTGACTGTACACGTGTGAACAGCCTGACGGGGCCTCTTTTCTCTCCTCCATATTCAGCTCTTTTCGTGTGCAGCACATGGACTTGTCGAACTCAGTCATAAATGTGTCAAACCTCCATGGGATTCTGTCCGAGTGCTCCAAGTTGCAGAATCTAAGCCTGGAAGGCCTGCAGCTTTCGGATCCCATTGTCAAGTGAGTGGCACCTGAAGCATGTCACAGACGGTTGCAGTGTTTCTTGTATGTGACTACAGTGTCCTTATACATACCTGTCCAGAAGGACATACCAAATATCCAGAACTGTCCAGGGTCTTCAAGACGACAGAAGTTTGAATACTGATCATATGCCAGACCCCATTCTAGGTGTGATAGACAAAGGCGGCCAGCATGTGGTCTGGGAGACGGATAATTAGAGTGCAGAGTGTTCACTAAATGCACTGGTGGTTATGTGGCAACACACAGAGAGGCCCAGTTGAGTTTAAGGAGGACAGCCTTCTCAGTCGGAGGAGTGACTTGTAGGCTGGCGATTAAGACATTCCAGTAGGAGATCTCGGAAGTGATCGGACATCGGAAGCAGCCTCGGGAAAGCTGCTGCTGTTCTGACTCCTAAGTAGCTGGCAGTTGCCCGAGCACTGCAGTCCGGGAGATGAGGAGAAGCGTGGAGACATGTAATGGCCTTCTGTGGAGACGGAGTTTGCAAAGAGGCCTTGAAGCAGAGTGCATTGTGTGTCTGAAAACAGAAGGGCCATGTCAAACTGAAATGTATTTGATTAGTTTGCTAGGGACCACATGGGGTTAGTTGGACAGACAGGTTAGGTCGCTGGAACAGGTTAGGTCCATGGTCGCATGGAACAAGACTGGTAGCAAATATGTAGCAAAAAAAATTTAACTTAGTAAATACTAAGTTAAAAGTAATACTGAGAGCCAGCACCTGTGGTGAGCTCTTGCCCTCTTGCCCTTGCCCCTGTCTGTGAAAGCTGAGCCACAGAGAGGCTGGCTGGCTTGTCCACGTTCACAGTTATTCAGTACCAGGCCAAGACTTAACTCCAAAACAACTGGCTATTCATCCCCAGGTTCCCTGATAGAGGGGAGGCAATAAAAAGATACATTTATTGGTGTTCCTTGTGCATTACACCGCAAACACTTTGCAAGTCCTTCGGTATATTATGTCATTCAACCCTTCCTTTTTTTTTTTTTTTTTCCGAGACAGGGTTTCTCTGTAGCTTTGGAGCCTGTCCTGGAACTAGCTCTGTAGACCAGGCTGGTCTCAAACTCACAGAGATCCGCCTGCCTCTGCCTCCCGGGTGCTGGGATTAAAGGCCCAGCTCAACCTTGTTTCTAACCCGCCAGTTTGCCACAGTTGCCAGTTTGCATATGAATAATGGAAGCAGGTCACTCTGCTGTGACAAGAGATGGTGAAATATAGATTTTTAAGCTCACTTCTGACTCACAAGCGTATGTGCTAAATTATTATATTCACCCTCCTCCTCCTTAACACAGCACACACACACACACACACACACACACACACACACACACACACACGGACTCACCACTGATGCTATTCATTCCTCTGGCATTTTCTCTTCCCTAGCACTCTTGCCCAGAATGAAAACCTGGTGCGGCTAAACCTCTGCGGGTGCTCTGGGTTTTCCGAATCTGCCGTGGCGACTCTGCTGAGCAGCTGCTGCAGGTAGGAACAGTTTGCACCATAGCAGATACAGTGACACTTTGCATCTGGGTATCTGGATGTGCTTTTGAGGGCTGCCATGGTCTCGGCCTGGGCAACGTAGCATCTGGCGCGAAAAAGTTCAGGGTGAAACTTAAAGCGCGTTTGTCAAGGAAGGACACTTGGGTAGTGATCCCTTCTTTGCTGCTGTTAAAGGGAAGTAGAGAGATGTGTTTGTCACAGTGTGGTTGATTTATATCTGACGAAGCCATATTGAATATGGGTGATATGTACTGCTAAGTGAGAGGAGACGTGGTATAGAGAACACGCAATACCTATAATGTAGATGCTCCTTGTGTTATCTGTCTCCCTAGTGTTCTCTCAAAGGGAAGTGGTCCTGGAGCAGAACATCGCGAGGCAGACAAAGCATGCGGCACTGCGTTCAGTCAGTTGTCAGCAGAGATGCAGGCGGAGGGAGGGAGCGTTGACTTGGAAGCTCGCTGGCTCTCCTCGCAGGGAGAATGGGATGCAGTGGATTTGTGTAGCATCTTGGTCTTTTTCATTAGTAGTCAGTCCATGGGTTTTATAAAACATTTGAGTTGGTAGCTCTTGGGTGCTGTTTTGACAACCTAGAAAAACCTTGTATGTCCGAGAAAGACACATACAAGCTATAGTTTTCAACCTGTATCCCCAGAAGGAGGCAGTGTTTGCTCTGGCCTCCCCGCTGCCGCCGGGTAAGTTGCAGGCACAGGTGTTTAGAGGAGAGAATGCAGTTGTCAATGAACGACACAGGGTGACCTGTGCCTGAGGCAATACAGAACCTGGTTGTGTATTTTTGGCGTGTGCTGCTTGAGTCGCCCTGGTCCTCCTGATGGTCTCGTGTCTTCCCTGTCGCCCTTCCGTCACGCAGACTGGATGAACTGAATCTCTCCTGGTGCTTTGAGTTCACTGAAAAGCATGTGCAGGCGGCCGTGGCACATCTGTCGGCGACCATCACCCAGCTCAACCTCAGCGGCTACCGAAAGAACCTCCAGAAAACAGGTTAGCGCGTCGAGCCCGGGGCCGCTGAGCTGCTCTACGGCTCGCCTGGGACATTTCTGCGGCCTCATTGTCTCCTTAATCCAGCGTGCGTGCTGTGTATGTCTTCAGCAGAGGGATTGTTCGTCGGAAGAGTTAGGTAGAGGTCTAGGATCTAGACAAAACAATCTTTTAAAGTAGTGTGTGTGTGTGTGTGTGTGTACTTGGAGATCAGAGGTCAACACTGCGTGATTTCATCAGTACTTCTCTACCTTTAAAAAAAAAGTTACGTATTTTTCTATTTTATTTTATATATATAGGTGTTTGCCTGTATTCATCATGCCTGTACCCTGTTGTCAGTTTGTTTACTCTACTCTTAATAGGCTTTTTTGGGGGGGGGCCCACCACCCAGCTCCCAAATAAGTCACACACAGAGGCTTAGTCTTAGTTATGAATGCCCAGCCTTGGCCTGTTTCTTGCCAGCTTTTTTTTTTTTTTTTTTTTTTTTTTTTGGTTTTTCGAGACAGGGTTTCTCTGTAGCTTTGGTGCCTGTCCCGGAACTAGCTCTTGTAGACCAGGCTGGCCTCGAACTCCCAGAGATCCGCCTGCCTCTGCCTCCCGAGTGCTGGGATTAAAGGCATGCGCCACCACTGCCTGGCTTGCCAGCTTTTCTTAACTTAAATTATCCCATCTATCTGTGGCCTTGGGACTTTTTCTTTCTCTATTCCTATATGTCTTATTTTTTCCTTCTTTCCCTATGTCTGGCTCTGTAGCTGGGTGACCCCTGAAGTCCTCCTCCTTTCTCGGGCCCCACCTTCTCATGTTTATTTGCTGCCTGCCAGCCCCGCCTGTTTCTCTCTCCTGCCTCACCATCAGGTGTTTTAGACAAGCAAAGTAACACAGCTTCATGGAGTTAAACGCATGCAAAGTAAACAAAAGCAACACACCTTCAAATAAGATTCCCTAATAGTACCCCCTCATGTATGCAGTGCCTGCAGAAGCCAGAAAGGGCAGCAGACCTCCTGGAACTGGAGTTACAGTGTAGTTGCCTTGTGGCTGCTGGGACCCAGACTCTGGTTCTTCCCAGTCTTCCTATTTTGTCATTTTAGGCAGGGTCTCTCGCTGATTTTGCTGCTGACTGACAAGCCCACGGGGTCCTCCTGTGACTTCTGCCCCATCCTGAGGTTACAAGTGAATGCTCTCCCACCCAGTGTTCCCAAGAGTGCCACAGAGCAAACTCAAGCCCTAGGACTTACAGACAAAAGCGCTTATATCTCCTGAGTCCCAGAACTACTTTTAATAAACAAAATTACTCTGCAGAACCCTGATGTAAAAGTAGGCAAACACAGATTGAACCATTAACGGACCAAATATATTTAGGGGAAAAAAAACTGCATCTGTATTGAACACGTAGTAACTTCTGGGCACAAGGCACTCCTCAGTTCAGTGTAACAGCTACACACTCATCAACCACATTGGTGCTAAAAGTAAGCTGACGGGAGGAGATGCGGACTGACTTCATTGTCTTTGGATCTGAGCATCCAGATGGGATTCTGGAGTCAAACCCCAGGGACACAAAAGGGTGACTTTGAAAAGTTGTTTTCAGCTAGGAACAGCTTCCCAAAGTCTGGAAGGCATTTCATCTCAGCGCATGGGGTTCTGCTGCCATCTAGTGGTTAGATGCCAGAATTGCTGCTGGAGAGCGCAGAAAGATTAACCCCGGCGTCATCTGGCCCAAAATGTCAGCAGTTAAGATTGAAAATGCCTCAGCTAATAAATTTATATTCACATTTTCTGCTTTTTTATTCAGTCTAAAAAACAATGTTGACGAAGACAAGCATTTGAAGTTGGGTGGGTAGCAGCCATGGTACTGACTTGGCTGAGCTCTGTATTGTGTGTGTGAGAGACACTGAGAGTCTTCATTTGCACACGTAAGTGGTCACAAGAGGAAATTTTTTTTTATTAAATGGCTTTATAGCTCAGTCTCTGGCTAATATTCAATCCGGGCTGCACAAAGAGAAATTGGTTTAGGTGCTCCAATCAACCCTGAGCGGTGTCTCGTGGGTGTTGCTGGCACACCAGGTGTGGGCAGTTTGCTACTGAAGTCTTTCGTATGCTTAAAGAGGCGTGAGTCAGGTACCTTGGCTGCTTCATAGCATTTCAGTAGTATTTGGAAACTGCTTCTCTGGGGCTTAATACGTAAGATCTGTCAGACCAATGGAAATGGAAATGTTCTTCATGGGTGGCCAGGGAGGGGTTTAAGGCCGTCCCTGTGTAAGGACGCGTATTTGAACAACTACCGTTGCAAAGGAGCGTCCTCGGATACGGAGACGGAGCACGGAGCTGCCGCCGTGGCTCCCTTTCCTGTCCCTCTCCCTACGCAGCTCCGGGCATATTTTCCCTTTAGACACTTTAAGTTCTAAGTATAGGATTATACGGTTATTCTCGGAAATCAAGGTCATATAAAAATACACAGAGGCAAACAGATCCGGGGTGAGCAGACTTCCTGAATGGTATGGGGTTGAGGAGGAATGGATCTGGGGGAAGAGGGGAAGTGGGGGAGGGAACACTGCAGTTGGGATGTCTTGCATAAGAGAAGAATAAATGAAATGAAGTTTTAAAGAAGGAAAAATATAGCGGTGGATGGGTGGAATGTGTCAGGACTGGTCACAGAGAGGCCGAGGATCCTGGGAGAGATAAACAGGAGTTTGTGGGAAAAATTCTCGAACCAGACGCAATGATCAAAGAGGGGATCTTTTATTTCGACGAGAGAGAGAGATACACACAGGTTTGTGGGAGAGCGTCCGGGAACGAAGGACCTCAAGGATAAAGGCCTTTGATTTGGGAGCTGGTTGCAAAGGCGAGGTCGCCAACACAGAAGACACCAGGGACGTGCGGTGGAACAGTGACGTGGTCTGGCTTTGTGCTGTTCACTCTGGCGCCGCGGTGAAAATAGGCTGGGGGGGGGGGTGCATGAAGCAGGGAGGACGCTGGGAAACTACAGTGGTAGCATTTACGGTGCTAAGAAAGGGCCGTATTTGGGCGCATTTAGGAAGCCGACCCAATAGGATTTGGTGTCAGCCTGGATGTGGAAAGAGAGCAAAGCGGTCAAGTGTGATTCCCGAGGTTTGCGCCTCAGTTGCTTTGCTGTCCTTGGGGTTGTATGGTACTAGGGCAGGAAGGAGTGGAGGAAAGGGGGAGATTTAGGGCAGACACTGGCGGTTTTAAACATAGATTTGGGTGACTATCACACAGCCAAGTCAGTATGTTGAGAAAGAAAGCATCTGAAACTACAAGACTAATATGGGGCGCAGCTGTGAAAGTAGACATCAGACATTAAGTGGAGTGTGTCAGGTTTAAATAAGTAACATTTAAAATCGTTTTTCCTGCTGACAAAGTAGCTCGGTTCATGTCACTCTTACAAATTCTGCCAAGTGTATAATGTCAGTACTTGCTAGCAGCAATTAACAATCCGGAGTGTTTCCTTCAAGGTGGTTTCCTTGTCTCTATTTTTATATGAGTTTGTGTGTGTGTGTGTGTGTGCGTGTGTGTGTGTGTGCTTTAACTAGATTAAGATTACAGTGTACTGTGTATCTGTGTGTACTTTGTTTTCTTTTTTATGCAAACATTTCCCGGCGTTTGTTTTCCACTTATTTGTTTTGGAACGTGGAGTGGCGGTCAGAGGACTTGCTGGAGTGTCTTCCTCCACCACGTGGGCTCCAGGGGTGATCAAACCTGGGCTGTCAGGCTTGCAGCGAGAGCTTCTCCTCCTCTGAGTCTCTCTCCAGCCCAAGAAGCTATTTACTTAAGTTATTTCCTGCTCCATATCTGTTTCACAGATACATGCTTATGATCTTAATTTATTGTTTATCCTTTTCTTATAGTTAATAAGACTATTATTAATCTGTATAACTTATGTTGACTACACACCATTTTCTGATACTTCTCTGAATGCTCTAACGTGCAGAATTTTTTTTTTATTTTTGGGGCAGGGTGCCACTATCTAGCCCTAGCTGGCCTAGAACTACTGTATAAACCAGAGTGGTCTATAGTTTTCACCAATTCTTCAGCCTCTGCCTTCCTAGTACTGGGATTACAGGTGTGCCCAGCCATGCCTGGTATAAATAGTAGAATTTTTAAAAATTTATTTATTATACATACACTTGCCAGGAGAGGGCGCCAGATCTCATTACAGATGGTTGTGAGCCACCATGTAGTTGCTGGGAATTGAACCCAGGAACTCTGGAAGAGCAGCCAGTGCTCTTAACCTCTGAGCCATCTCTCCAGGCCCATAAATAGTAGAATTTTAAGATGTATTTTGTAGATTATGTGGTTTTTCTTTGTTTATACACTCCTTACCTAACCCAAGATTCTGCAAATTTCTTGAAAATAGCATTTAAAACTTAAACATATATGGAATTTACTGGGTTGTAATTTGAGCTAGAAGTTCATTTGTTAGTTTTGATACAACATTTTTTTAAAAATAAATAGTTCGTGATTCCCGCTAAGTTGAAGAGCCATCTTGATGGAATATTTTTGACTCTTTGTCCTGGCATTTGGTTTTGCTGTCGTTGTTGTTTCCCTGGCTATCGTGGATTGGGATTTCCTTTTCTCTTTCCAGCCAGTTATTATTGCTACATAAATTGTTGTTATCGAGGGATTTCACACAGCTCCTCTAACGTTTGCAGTGGATTCCAGGTGCTCACCTGGATTTTCCCAGCAGGAAACTTTTCTACATGAAGAACTGCTCTGAGCGCCTTGCTGCCAGCTTCCAGTGCGTTGTGGAAGAACCGCAGCCAGAGCAAACACCCCTTCCTCCTTCCTTCTTTAACCCCGACAGTGACCATCGCATGTTTGTTTTCCCTAGATCTTTGTACCTTAATCAAACGGTGCCCCAACCTCGTCCGCCTCGACTTAAGGTACTGTTTTAAGTCAAAATTTGGAATATTTGGGTTGTTTGGAGATGGGGCAGGGTCTAGTGCAGGCATCAAGTGGTGGTGTGCTCAGTCTCTGGGTGCAGACATCGAGTGGTGGTGTGCTCAGTCTCTGGGTGGTTCTGAATCTGTCTCCTTCCTGTTGCAGTGACAGTATCATGCTAAAGAATGACTGCTTTCCAGAATTCTTTCAACTCAACTACCTCCAACACCTCTCGCTCAGCCGGTGCTATGATATAATTCCTGAGACCCTACTGTGAGTATGTTTTGTGTTCATGCTGGTAGAAGGCAGGGATGACACGTGGTAGTAAAACCCATCGTTACTAATGGATGTCCACAGAGGGAACATTCGTATTAATATGCAATGAAATGTCTAGGAAGGAATATCAAAATAGCTCATAGGATGTTGGATTAAACTGTCCGGTAAAGTTGAACTGGTCTCATTAGCGTTTGTTACGTAACTGTCGGCATCACTGTGTTAGAATGCTGTCCTACTGTCTGTGAAGGACTTAGAAAAGGAAGCTTTTACCTCTAAGGAACTCACTGTGAGCCTAGGAGGCAGACCCAGAGGGAGTGGACTTGTTTGAGATGTTTCCCACTGGTTCTTAAAGCTGTGTCTGGGCTTCCTGGAAAAGTTCCATGATCTAGTGATGAGACTCCCAGATAGCCAAGGACGGTGAAGAATTGGTACGTGTGTAGGAGCATCTGATGCTATCTGGAGAGGATATGTTATGTGGGTCCATGGCAATTAAGTCTCTTATCTCCAGGCATTGCTTCTTTCATTCCAAAGGCTGTGATAGTCTTCCTTATACCAAATGAAAAGCATAGTGGTTTCACTGAAAACCACGAGAGGTCAGGATCTTGCACTTGGTCAGGTGCCCTTTCTACTGCAGCAGGGTCATGTGGCTTGAGGAAGACTTTCTACTATTTATCTTGCCAGCAGGATGTCAGCAGGAATTTTTCCTACCTAAAAATGGAGAATTAAAAAAAATATTTTTCATGAATTGGATTATACAATTTCAATAATAAATGATCTGTTGAGAGTTTGGTAAAGTTGGGAAGTCTGGTAATTATGTGGCTGGATTAATCATTTTAACTAGTCTCCTGAGCCTTAGCTAGTAGTGTGCTATTTGAAAAAGCACTACCTAAAAAAGATGCTGATTTTTCTTGAACGTCTCTCAAGTGTTACAACTCAAATTCGTGTGCATAGAACTCTGATACAAATCCCTGCGCTTATTTCCCAGCATCCAGAACTTCTGGAAGCTTTTTCTCTGTCATCCATTCTTGCCATCTGGGCTTCGCATCGGCCTGGACAGCTGGCTAGGAAGGGAGACTATTCTTTTCTGGTGTCTTTTCTCAAGCACATCTGTGAGTTTGTTCCTTCGCTGTGAAAAGAAGCTGAGCAGGACTTTTAAATGCTCGCTTTCCCTCTAGTAGAGGCGAGGGGAAGGCTTTGGTCTCTCACGTTTATTCAGCGGGATCTTGGTTTCTCTGCATAATAATCTCCATCTGGATTGATAGGGAGGAGCGTGAGCCTCACGCCCTCGGTGCCAGCGTGAACCTCGGCATCATTGATTGTCAAAGTCTGATCTTTAATTAGAGCATCAAGGGCTCTAGCTTCCCGGCAGAGCAGCAGAGTAGAACGAGAACAAGATGATGTTGTCCTCGAACATCGGCATGGTTCTTTGAGCATCATGTAAATACTAGGGATTCTTTCAGATGAATTCGTGTGGGTCCTTTTCCTAAGATAAGTCACTCTGGCAACTGAGGCATTTGAAGTTCTTAGTGGCAATCCCAGCATGCCTCAAGGATACCATCCACACAGCAGCCATCTGCGATGCAGAATAGTTCTTATCTCAGAAGAGAAAATGACATGCATCTTTGACAGAGTTCTAAAATACTTCCAAAGCCTTGCAGTTCCTCACTCCTGCGGACCCCTGCTAGAGTTCCTCTTTCCTTAATTGGTCTTACTTTCTACTGAATTTTCTTCTAAGAATTTTGTTTCTTTGGCCATGATGAACCCAACTTAGAGGGAAAACTGATTTGAAATTAAGAGAGTTGAAAGTTCTTAGGGCGAAGCATTTTGCACTTAAAGGGAAACAGGACTGCGTGGATGAGGTAAGGAGAAAACCTCGGAGTTTCTAAGTGCCTAGTTTACTGTTTTTGAGACCAGGTCTCAGTGTTTATCCCCAGGCTGGCCTATGATCCTGCCTCAGCCTCTGTCTCTAGTTGATGAGTGCCTATTATTAAACTCAAACAAAGAGCCTTAAAAGATACTATCCTATTATCTTATAGCAAGTAAAGAAAAGCTTCTAGACGGTTCCCTTTTCTCTTCTGCTGCAAAGTCAGAGATGCTTGTGTCCTTATTTTCTGCAGTGTGGCCTTTGCACACAAGAGGTGATTTTGTTGTTGGGTCCTGTCCCGTCTTCTGCAGCTCCCTTCCCACATGGAGCGCCATGTATTGGCCTCACCAACTTCCTCCCAGGGTGGCTGTACAAATGCTCCCTCCTCTGCCATCTGCCACTCTTCTCTCTCTTGCTCCCCACAGTGTCTTCTTTTAGATATTATCCACTGCAGGTGACTCACAGCTTTGCTGCCTGGATATCCCAGAACCTGAATTTTCCCAAGCACAACCCTGTTCTCAAATGCTGGTTTCACATAGGAGTTGTGCCAAGGATTGCTGTCTTGGTGTTCATGTTATAACCTGGTCTGCAGTGCACACACAGCCTTTGTATTTGTTTCTATATTCCAGAAGTTAAAGATGCAATGTGTTCCTCTTGACTTGCATTTTGGTCTATGACCTCCTGACCTCACTGCCCCTTAGAAGCAGGCACGCTTATTTTTAGATAGAGCCCTTCTTTGCCATTCATCTTGGATTCCACAACACACACTAAATATTGTGGCACTTATTTGGACCATTCATAGAGAGGGGTAATGGGAAGACCCATGGAGCCTGTTCAGCATGGATGGTCCTTAGATCTAATAACCATCTGATTTCTAGAACCATTCTAGAACCAGGGGGCATCAGGAGTTCTGGAGCAGGTGAGTGGCATGAACTGATTGAGCCTTCAAGAGGATGTCGTGGATGTTCATGGAAAATGTGCTGGAAGGCTGAGACACTGGCAGCCGAGGGACAGTACAAACTTGCTTTGTTTGAGTAAGCATTGACTATGACAACATAAGGTCACTGCTGGGCACACCGATCTCCAGCGGGTTTTGCTGAATTCCCAAAATAAATGTCCCCCTTCCTGGGACTTTGCACTATGTCCCAACCTAAAGCAAACAGAGATCGGAGAGATGAAGCTGGGCAGACAGACCAATGTTAAAAAGAACAAGTACCAAAGCCACAAAGTGTTTTCTTTGGGTAAATTTTCAGGGTCAATTTTGTGTGACCCCAGATCACACTGTTTAACAAGAAGTACATACGAAAAGGTCTGTCCTATCAGTAATAGGGCGGAAAAATCCTATGTAGAGAAGAGGTCCTTTCTGCTGTACACTGGTACTATCTGAGGCCTATATAATCCCTATATAGTGGCCTATAAGAAATACCTTAAGGAAGTCACCCGTGGGTTCCGTTGCAGTAAGGTTTTGTGAATGGTGCATCATGACTAAGAAGCCCTCGGTGCTGCTGGTATCGTCTGTTCAGAGAGCCTAGTGCAGTTAAAGGTCACGTCCAGATTCCTCAATTGCTTTCATCTTGGGGTGGTTCCGACTGAGGCCGCAGAAGCACATTGATTCTCACCATTACTCGCTTACTAGCAGTGGTCACGCCACAGTAACCCTCGCAGGGATCTGTGGAGACCAAGAATGGAGAAAGGAGGCAAATTCAGTTCAGCTGAAAATAGCCATAAACTTCAGTTCCACGGGAGCCAAACGGAGTCAGACACACATGGGTCAGGTTGCTGTGATTCCCAGCTTTTATCTCCTTGTGTTGTTTCCTTAAATCATCTACTATAAATTATGGTTTTAGGCTGCACTCCTGTAGACTGATATAGACATTACAAACAATAGCTTATAATAACTAGTCTAAACAATTGCCATACACCCTGACATTTCCTCTTCCTTCCCAGTGAACTTGGAGAGATCCCCACACTAAAGACGCTACAAGTTTTTGGGATCGTGCCGGATGCTACCCTGCAACTGTTGAGAGAAGCCCTTCCCCACCTGCAGATTAATTGTGCCTACTTCACCACCATTGCAAGGCCAACCATGGACAACAAAAAGAACCCGGAGATTTGGGGCATCAAGTGCCGACTGACCCTACAAAAGCCTGGTTGTGTATGAAGGGCTTACTGCGGGGGCGCCGCTTCCTCTCAAGTGAGGAACACAGGCAGCAAATCGAGTTGCTCGAGACCTTGGTTACCTTTCCTATTGGTTTTACCTTAGCGCTCACTGTGCATGTATGTTAGGGAACCATTTGCAAGGGAGCACTATGAAGTGTTGCGTTTTCGAGAATACAGAGACGATTGCGCCAGTGCTGTGCCCTCAGAGTCCAAGTGCTAGTTCTTTGGAAATCTTAGGTGAGCCTGCTATTTCAAAATAGCTTTTTAAAGCAGAATTTGAGCCAGCTCTTCCACGTGCCCTTCAGATTAAATCTATTTAGAATCAAGTTTTCAAAATTACCCCTGGCCCAGTTTTCATGGTGTCTGTCCTAACTTTTTTTTATCTATTTAATTATTCAGTATTTCATAAAACTTGATTTTGAAGAATGATAAGCTATATGTACGGTGAGTTGAACAGAAAGAATCATAGGCTGGTAGCGTTTGAGGCAATCTCTTCTGGGAATTAGCATTGTGTGCAGGTGTGAAGTTAGTTTGCTAGAAACACAGTCCTGCGTGATGTACCTTGAACTCTAAAGGAGGAACAGAAACGGAGAGAGATGCAACCGTGAGGCTAGAATTGGTGTAGGATTTGAGGCCTCAGAAGGCTGAAGTCCTAAAGTCAGGTTCCTGTGAAGTAGCTGTCCATGTTTTTAGGTACGATGCTGTGTTCCCAGAGTCCTAAAGTAGATGAGGAAATCTAATCATACCTTTTTTTTTTAACTTTATAATCCATGTATGTTATGTGGGCTGTTTAGCTTTTTAAATTACTTGCTTTGTTTTAGAAATATGGTGTTATTCTAATCAGCATTCTCGAGAAGTCAGATAGAGCTCTGAGCTGATCTTGTTTGCTGTCTCTTCCTTTGGCGCTGCAGTCATTTGTATTTTACTCTGAACTCAAGGACTTGAAATACTTTTAAGTGGTCTTTCACAGCGATGGCTTGACCCTGCCCAGGAAGTTACTGGATCTACAAGTTCCTTAGGTAGAGCTGCTGCTTTCTCTCGGCCAGAAACGCTCGGGAAGCAGGTGTGCGCGCAGCTTCCACGCACCTGGCACGACCTGCGCTTCACCTAAGTTTTTAAGACTCACTGGGCATTAAACCTTTTGATAACAGATGGACTTTTTAACGCCTGATACGCAGAAGCCAAAAGATCAAAGGGTGCTTCTTAGACAATGAAAAGAAAAAGAAATTAAGGCAGTTACCTCTTTTGAATACGACAGAGCCAAAATACATTTCTATTAACTTTTTCATCAAAGAATCGTACTGTTACAATAATATGAAGTGCCTTTATCCTCTCAGACCTAAAGAACATTTTCAAAAGTGTAACACAGGAATAATTTTGCATCAGTTGCCGAGTAGTTAAAGTGCTAACTACTACTTGAAACTATTGTTTACAGATTAGTAGGCTGACAGTGGGCTCTGGCTGGACTCCGGCCTCCAGCTGCCCTCAGACATGCAGGACCTGTTCTTCCTTCCTCAAGTCCAGCTGGGAGCTATTTTGCCAACATGTCGCAGTAATCTGTATTTTTGTATGTGATTTCTACTTTTATAGACTCATTTTAAAATAAAGTACATTTTTATAAAAACGAGGATTTGAGCCAATTTGTGTCCCTTTTTTCTGAAGTCATGAAATTTAGAAAGCATCAGTTCGGGTTGCCGTTTGGAAGATTTCAACCTCGACCCTGATCTACCTGCCTGCTTTGTGTGCTTGTTGTCAAAATGAGTTCATAATACATTCTGAAAAGTGCTAAATACCAGCTTGTCAACCTGAATGTGCTCTCAAGAATACTGATATTTATACAATGTTTGCATTCAAGTGGCTAATGTCACATAACACTGTTAAGTACAGACTGGATCGGCTTACATTGTGTATTTCCATGGTTTAGAAACAATGTGAATAGCTTAACGCCAGAACTTGGAATAGTTCAGTCGCTTTGATCCTTTCCATTAAAATGCCAGGCTGGTGGTTCTAAATCACCCAGGTTTTCTGATTTATTTTTGTTTATTTGTTTTAGTTATACTACCATTTACTAGTTCTAGATTTTGTTTTTAAATGACAGAGAACGTAAAATATAGAGCCTCATCATCCATTGTCAACCGTCTTTAGCTCCTGGCCATTCCCTCATATGAAGATAATTTTAAAACAAAACTCAGACTTATAATTTTATAAACACTGCAGTGTGTGTGTGTATATATATATATAATTAGTGATGTGGTCTTAACTGTACGCACTGAATGAAGGGATGGTGTTGAAGAGCTGTCTCCCACTTTTTCTTTTTGAACAGTTTTGGTTTTGAAACAAGAGCTCATTGTGCATCTCACGCTAGCCTCAAGATGGCTGTTGGATCCACCTGACCTTGAACTCACGCCCCTCGCGGTCTTTGCCGGGTGCAGTGATTACAGGCCTGTGCCACCACTCCCAGATTGTTCTCATCAGTCTCCTAACATGGTCCGCATGTTGCATCCAATAATTCTTTAAGAAATTTAAGCTCGAGGTTTTCTTTCATCCCTGGAAATTTATTTACTGAAGATAGGTCATGTGTTCTGTATTTCAGAGTCTGGATTTTAGTGATATCCTTGAAAAGAGAAAAAAAAGGTTAACAAGTTAAGCCTCCCCAGCCACACTGGTCATCTTCGTAAGTTACAGTTAGATCTAATAACAAAAATCAGGGGTGACTTCTGCACAGTAGGAGACCTAGTAAGATTTGAAATGGTGGCTGGTATCAGACTCCATTTCCAGTGAGAACCATGTTAAATACATCTCTATGTGTGTACATACAGGGGCCTGTGGGGGCCAGGAAATCCCGTGGACCTGCAGGTGTCGGCTCTTGTGAACTGCCTGATGCGGGTACTGGGAACCAAGCTCCTTATCTAATCAGTGATTTTCTTTAAAATACCTTGCAGTGTATCTTCCTTAATGTACAAAGTAGCCGTCTCACTGATTTATGCTCTCTGAATTCCTCATAAATATAAAGCATTTGAAAACAATTGAAATATTATTTTTCAGGGTTCATTATTTGTCACAAGGTCTTACCATATAGCCCAAGCAAGACTTTTAACTCAGTCTTACCCCCACCTCCAGAGGACTGGGATCACAGTAGGGCAGTGTATTTGCTCTTACCCCTCCCCCACCATTATTTCACATATTAGTTATCCCTAGGTCCCCTTAGGCATATGGCTGGATATATATGCACACAACAGAAAGAGTTCCTAGTGATTTCAATTCTAAATTTATATTACTTTCATAGCTTAGCATTAAGTGTCCTTAAGGGTGTTTTATCATTGTGTGTGAGGATCTCTGCACACACACACACACACATACATGCACACACAGGTCTGCACCTGGACCTAGACTAGCAGCCTGCAAGCTCCAGCCACTTGTTCTCTGCCGCAATGCACTGCTATGGGCACAGTGCCACCACAGCCAGCTTTTTAGGTGGCTGCTGGGATTTGAACTGGGGTCTTCCTGTTTGCACAGCAAGAGCTCTTAAGTGCTGAGCCACTTTCCCAGACCCTGTTACTTTGACACTTTCAGCCCTAAGTGACTATTTTATAATTATTTGTGTTACTCTACTTCCCTAAAAATGAAATTGTTTTGTGCGTGAAAGCTATCCATTCAAGAATATAAACTATGGAATTAAACTAAATCATATGAAAAATACATTTTTGAATTAAGCATTTTGATCTATGAATATATCATTCTGCCAAGAAATGCCAATGAACCAAGTCTACACAGTACACAGAGGACATGAATTTGGGGATAGACTTGAAACATGGTATTCAGAGGAAACTTCGTTTTTATGCAGTGACCTCATAAGAATTTAGAAAAAAAAAAAAAAACAAAGTAAAAAAGAACAGACAATGGTTTAATTTTATTTTCATACAGTGGTCATTAAAGGTTAACCCATTCAAAAAGACATTTCTGACACTCCATGTATTACATTTTTTCGCCAATTACCTATTACAAATAAATCCCTGCCTGCCATAGAGCAGAAGTTAGACCGCAAACAGCACAGTCAGTAATTTTAGTATCTTTCCAAATGTAGCTCATGAACAACCCCACACGGCTGGTTACCAGCTAATGGGACATATTAATAGATCTGTGGAAAAGCATGGACAACTAGATTTCCCAGATATAGTAAGGATATGAGTGGCTTTTTTTTCCTAACAAGGTATTTTAAGCCTTTTAGGGGGATTTCTATAGTGTGGAATTTAACTTCCATTATAAACTGGTATCTTAAATATATCACTTAAAAAATTAAACTAGAAATTAAGACTTGGCTCAGCAAAATCACTAATGTGTCTCCTCCTGCTGACAGCCTCAAGCAAAGGCATTCTGCTGAACAGTAAAGCCCAGACGAACCTAGACTGCCTTGCACATTGACATTCATCTTTTAAAACGAGCAGCATGTTGAGTTTGGCAACGCTGAGAGCATCTGATCTCTCTGATCATGTATCCTAGCTTTCAGGTATTCTAGGCTTGAGTTCCACCAACAGTCTACCTCAGTGTCTATCCAGCACTTCATTATACGACATATTGTGACAGATGGCACAGAATGAGTCTTCAATAAAAACTTCGTCAATGAAAAAACAAGTGAAACCTATTCCACATTGCGCAAGGGCACACAACACCATTTCATCAGTCAGCAGTGGGAGCTCTTTGTGGAAATTAATGACCTTTACAGAGACCAAGAATTACGTGAAAATTATTCCTTCAAAGATAAAGTGGTTTTCATAGTTGGGGGCGCTGACGTTTTATCATCTAAAGCTATTGTTTAAAATTTGGAATACAGTAAATGAAAACCACAATACTAAAGTAAGGCAATTCCAATACTATGTCTTATTCTCTTGCTGACATGCCTAAAACTAAAGGAAGGTTTGAACATTTTACCAAACTCCTAACAGAACATGCTCCCTGGATGTTCTTGAGTTCGTTCAAAAACAGGATGGGGGGGGGGTGCTACTGGAATCAAGTTATTTTTCAAAAACAAAAAGTTTGACCAACAATTGCTATGGAAAAATTAATACATTTACAATGCATGATTTGTTCCAAAAGATGTATTTTATCTATCATTGTTGACATTAACCAAAAGAAATCAGAATTTACCTACAAATATTTTTAAATGATTTGATTTTTTTCAATTAATAGTGATTTCATCATTTCCTAGAATTAGAAAATTCTTAACATATATAAAAACACATGTACCAACTTCAGTATGTCAACATCATGATTATCAAAATTCTCCATCAAAATCTTTAAAAATCTTTACTTTTAGGAACTATAAAAATAATGCACTAATCAAATGACACACAGCCAATTCCACAAAGTTAGGAAGAAAAAAACAAAAAGGCTTGTAGAGTTAAATTTGAAATCCTAAATACTTATTTATTTAACCTGCCTTTCTAAAGAATATCAATACTCCTGGTTACCAACTGTAAATACAGAAACTTAACCAGCGTAATTCTAACCCAGTTAGTCCATCATCTCTCCCAGGTGAACAGCTGCTGTCTATCAGAATGGAACAGAAGAGCACATGGACCCCACTTTGTCCCCTCTGCCTAGTGGTAGCCAGTCTCAGTAAGAACCGAAATAAGGTAGGTTTATGGCTGGTCATCTGTATCTGCTGAAAAAAATATGTTTCTAGTAACCAGATCTATCTCTTGAGGAAATCCTTCACGGTTCTAGAATCACAGTTCGAAGCTCATCTTCTTTATTGATCATCATCGAAGCAATCGCTCCGTCGTTAAACTCAAAAGAAGTTCCTCCATCCACAACCATGCAGGCATCCCAACATCGAGAACGCACGCAAACTCTAGTGGAAAGAGATGTCTCATTAAATATCAAGCAGTCTTAACACTAAGGAAATTCTGACTTTTGTTGGCATAACCAAAAGCTTATTGGCCTTGGTTTTAAGAATTTAGTTACTCTCTGATTTGACACTCAGTGACTGCACACAATATAGGTGCATTATCAACATCTCAAGTTTAAAATTCAAGGTAGAACCATTCACTTAATATTTATCAATGGAAAAAAGAAAAGATAAGAAAAGAAAATTAAAAGACTCAATGTAGTTGCCAGGTTACTTTCATGTAACTTCCATTACAAAGATTTTAAGTACTGAGCAAGAGTGCATTCTCATGTAAAATTTTACTTGTGGATTATGTAAAGCAACCAGAGAAGAGGTAATTCACTAATGTACAGTTCATGAACACAGCAGCAACACCTTCTCCCAGCTGCTCTGTCTGCCCGCTCCTCCTCAAGTGTACGCACTGTCTACTGTCTATCACTGTAGTGAGATGGCCGTTCTTAAACTTCATTTCAGCCATGCTAGTTTGGGGATAATAAGGTCAAGCATTTTTCTAAGATATTTATTGCCTTGGGGGAAGACCAAATATCACTGGCTTTTATTTTTTTAATGCAGTGGCTGCCTTTTATTGATTTGCTAGAATTTTTATATTTAGACTGAGTATCTCTTAACCAAATTTCTTAGAAACAAATCTTTTAGATAAGATTTTTAAAATTTTTAATATTTACATATATCCATGCATATATGTACGAAGTAACTAGGGATGAAACCCAAGTCTAA